TGTTGGCATCTTCTTTTTTGGTGTAGTCACTGTTGCAGCCATTCTATGTTGTTGTTAATTGCATACTATTTGTTGCTTATGATGTTGATTCAATAAACTTGCAGGTACAAAATAATGTCTTCGGTCTGTCGATCTAAACAGGTCATAAACAGAAGTAGTTCGTACGAACAGGCAATCAAATGACTTGATCTTACATTGGTATACATTAAAATGAAAAGTGTACGAGGCAGCGAAGCTGCCGAGTAACAGCCGAATCTGCCGCGTAGCGGCAGAAAGCGGCTGGTACATTTCATAATGCAAATCAAAGTTGAAGCCAGCCCTACAAAACGATACCTGAAGCAAGGCAAAAGACTTCTTGGGAAGAGAGATATTAACAATCAAACAGTGCATACATACTTTTGGGACATCCTGTAGTCAATTTGCCAAGGTTTTACCCGAGCATTTGACAAGATTTTTGCCCGGAGATGTAGCTCATGGTGATCAATGTTCTCATGGCGTCTACCAAAACAACGGAAGATACAAAACCCTATTCAAGTTTTCGTTTATTCTGCAAAAAGTTTCATCCACCAAAATCACCGATTACAAATGAAAAAGCCTTCAGAATGAGTAGTTGTTTTCATTTATTCGTGAGAGCCGGCATTGCGCGATGAGTTCAATGCCATTATTATGCGAGAGCGAGTAAGGCATCTAAATGGTAGAACCAGTGCGAGCCTCTGCGAAGCAGAGGTGACGCACTGGTTAATTATAATAACGGGCTAAGAGTGTTTACGTGTCTTTGTGTGCATGTATGTGTGAGAGTGTCTTTGTCACGAAATTCTTAGAACGGATTTCAGCCAATGTCCTGAGCTCAAATTTTGCATAGCGCATGCTACTGGCATGAACGTCCAACTTGCAAAAGCACGAGAAGATCCTTTAGTGGATCCCTCAGAAACTGCGCGTCAAACGGATCCACTTGGCTTCTGACCGCAAAATTGGGTCCGTAATTCCACTTTTTGCAGAGTATTAGATGTGTATGGCAAGTAAATGTGCGAGCCATGAACTTAGGCCCAAAAAAGTGATCAAAATTTCACTACTTTACTGAAAAGGCGCCGAAAAGAATTGGTTGCATAAGTGGTCAATTTGTCAAGGTTTTATCAGAGCATTGATGAGATTTTTGCACAAAAATGTAGTTCAAGTTGTTTACTATCTCTACGGTGACTATTAGAACCGTGACAAAGTCAAAAACCTATTCAAATTTGCGTCCGTACTTCTGCGGAAATTTTCATCCACGCAAAATCACCGATTCCATACGGAAAAATTTCAGAGTGAGTAGTTGTTTACATTTTATCCGTGATACTCGGCATTGCGCGGTGAGTTTCAATGCCATCATTATGCGAGAATGAGTAGGGCATTCAGATATTAGGACCAGTGCGAGCCTCTGCGAAGCCGAGGTGACGCCTGGTTACGAATAAGTGCCTAATTATGCATGATAGAGCCTTTATGTCATGCCTACGGAGAAGAATGTGGGGGGGGGGGGGGTTGAGACAGAAGATAGGTGGGGGGGGGGGGCGTCATATCCGGCGCTTGTGTGGCACATCTCTTGCCCCACGCTGGTTGTCTGCTTCCAAAAACTTGTTCAAATTAATGTTTTGCCTGATTTCTAACCTGAAGTAATACTTCTATTGAACCTTTTGCATAGTGAAGATAGTAATATTGCTTTTGACAGCTAGCAGACCTTTTGGTGACGATGCAGCTGATGCAATGCTTCCAGACAAGCTGCACGCTACTGGGTCAGCATGAAAGACTGAGTCCAATACATATATCTTCCGTATCTGCTGAGCGCCTTTGTAGACAAGTTATGGGTAATTGCGAAAATCGTACATACAGCGAAATGGGCAATTGGACTTTTAGCTTACCTTTGGATATGGGCTATACACAGTAACTTGGCTGCATGCTTTAACCAAGTATCAAGCTGAATATGGCTCTATATGGCCAACTTTACATGCACATTTTTTTGCGATAAAGTGGTTCATAACTTCGTCTGCAAAGACGACGTTCAGCAAACTGGAAGGTAAGTCTAGAGTCAATTTTCTATGCTGCATCCAATGGTATGCAACTTGTTTGGATTGGCTACTTCGAATTCTGACCAATCCCTTGTGATTGCAAGAAAAGAAGAGAACAACTCACCTTCGAAACAAAGTTAAATGTTTTAAAATGAGCTTTCGTTTGGATAGCAGAGTAATTGGAAATTTCAGATCTTGTTAAAATGGTTCAAAGAGGTTATCTGACTGCTAATTACGAGGAAGCAGTCTGCTTGACAGGCCTCTTTCTTATGCTTACGGCAGGTATGGATTGTTTCATATTGCCGCACTGAACCCAGCTGCTGCACTGACCGCAGCAGACTGCGGTCAGTGCGGCAGCTGCAGTCAGTGCGGCAATATGAAACAACCCTATACGGGAAGGCTGTCTACATGCGCCTTTATTTTGCTTAACAAGGCATCTGTGATACAGTTATTGATATAAGTGATATGTTTTCATCATAACCAGTGTCACTTCAGTCACGACCCTCTCTAAACTCTTTTTACGTTCCCAATATAGCATGCCACACCCCACGCTTGACCCTGGGTAGCGGTCCGTCGGTTGTAAGGTAATTTGAGCTAACACGTCACGTTCTCTACTTCTAATAAGGGGACGCCGTTGGCAGCGATTCATATTACGCGCCTTAAAGGCACCGTCCACCCGAAATCTCGACCTCCATGTTTTTGCCGTTGCAGAGCCTTCTCATACCCCTGATTCCGAATATCAAGTCGGAAATCCGCGAAAACCACGAAAAACTCGGTTTATAGAGCCCGCAGAGCGATTTCTTCGGAACGGTGATTGGTTAGATTGCGCACGGATGGGCGGAACGAACGTCACGCTCACTCGGGGAGGAGCCAACATGGCGAACCTGTCATCCTAGCTATTTTCAAGCAATTTTCTCGCTTCAAGGAACTTTTGCCGGCGCGAGTTGAATAAGTATGCAGTTGGGGGCCCCATTACTGTTAGACATCAAAATCTCATCGACCCCTTTTTGGTGGGCGGTGCCTTTAACACGTTGACGACAATGTCGCGCAATGGTGCGCGGCAGGCAGTCTGTCCCTGTAAACGACGCCGCGCAATGGGTTTTTAAAATTTAATACTTAATTTCAATACTATCGGTCCAGACCTCTCAATTTTCGTTCGTAATGAACATAGGCTCAGATGTACTTCACATGTTAGCCCCACCCCTTTAGGCAAACTCCGCCCACTCTTATGCTCCTCACAAGGACCCTTTTTGTTCATAAAAAGCATAGATGAGGCCGTAGATGAACGCAAAGACCTCAGGTAACTTTTATCCAGGTCCCGCCTACCGTCAGACAAACTCCGCCCCTGAGTGGCAGGCTCCGCCCACTTTTCAAAAGTGGCGGAATCCGCATGATTTCCTAAAATTTGGGCAGTTTCAGTCATTTTCGGTCAAGTGGGCGGAACTTGCAAAATTTATATTTCGTGCATGGATGCATGCATACATACATGGGCCAGGGGCAGGGATGCACGAAAACGTCTCGTCCACAGGGACAGACCTCAAAAAAATCGTCGTCAACGAGCTGAAGGCAGCATCCGGGCAAACCGAGCCTTTTAAACGCTCATTTCCTTGCAAGGTCAAACCATCTTCTCGCGAAATCTCCTTAATCCTTAATGGGTTTGGCAAAATCAAAACCTTTTACTTGTTTATGTTTGCTTTCGACAAGGATGGCGCACCACAGGCACTTGTTCACGGATCTCACAAAGTTGCATCAAAAAGGTATTTTGGAGAGGTTCAGGCCCTTTAAGTGCGGTACGCCATAGAAAGGAAATGACAGAATCTGTCAGAACGTTGCCTTCAATCCTACATGCCACAATCCATGACATTTTCTTGCTCTTTGCACTTTCTGCTTTCGGCTAAACGATCCCTGCAAATCTTTTTCGTTATGCTGACCACTTGTAAACATTTCGCTTTGAAATGAATACCTTGTCACTGCTTGAAGTGGCGCTCTGCAGACGTCGAAGTGATCAATATCAAATCTTCATTTTCTGTGTACACTTTGAGCTGCAAAAGCTTAGGCTATTTTGCAACCCTCGACTTTGTAAAAAGGTTAAGAATTAATTGAAACATCAACTAAAGCAAAATAGGTCTTTATAGTTTGAGCAGGGTGTTCCAAAAAGTGTGAATGTTTGATCTCCGTTGGTGATTTCTTGCTCCGAAATCTTTGTTCGATTCTCGGGTGACATCCTGTTAAACTCGTCAACTTATTTCAATGAACCGATCACCTGTCGCTCTTCATTACTGTAGAATCACTAAAGGAAGCCGAGTTTTTTAACGGCTATCTTGCGTCCGAAAGGAAACCAAACAAACAGGCCTAAAACCTTTAGACGATCACAGTTGCTTCTATATGAAACTCACTTTGATAGCTATGGCTTCGCGAGTTTTGCGGCCGTAACAACAGTCTTTTCAAAACGCGGTCACGCTCAGAAAAACTTGAAATCTCAATATATAAAAAATCAAGTGCTGATACAACGCGTAAAAATTTCGCTGCGCAATTCTCAATTTTCCAAAAAGATTGATGCGCCTACTTGCAATGGAATTCTATGCCGGAAGTTCTCGCCGCAATCCTACATTAGTGAAGTATAAACAGTAACCACCTCCATACCGTTAAAAGTTGGAAACAGCTCTATAAAAGAGTAACAGATAGTCGCGAAAGATGGGAGTGAAAGCGATATAAGCGACGGCGCGCACATTTCTATGATGCACTGTTCACGTACGGGCAAAAATTATGCTGACTATTCTTTTCCCTGTAAGTTGCTCTTAGATAGATAGCAACAATTATAATAGTTTTTTTTACATCCACTGAACAATGCTACTGCTTTAATATTGAGTATTGCATCTTTGAAAACTAATTAAACAGTCAAAATAAGATACCGCTAAAGGTTCTTTGGAATGATTCAATGTTTGTTGTATATATCAGGTACGTGAACATTTGATGGTTATGGCTAGATTAAAGTTACCATCTACATTTCGAGAGTCTACAAGAGCCGCAAGAGTAGATCAGGTCAGTTTGAGCTTTGCACGAAGAAAAATAATCAGACACATTTCCGTATACGTGAAGTAAATGTGGCTCAGGTCATAAGGGATATGTTGCTTGAAAACTCACAGTCGTCGCGTATAGGCGTACCCGGCATCACAAAAGGAATATCAGGTAAGAAGATTCTGCCTTTAATCAAAATTTGTTCTTTTTTTCTAAGCAGGGAACGATACTTGGTGACCCCGGCCATTCATAATGTTTGTATATCAAAAAATGTGCCTCTTAATGCTCTTTCGATTACTATTTTCTATATCTGCGAAACGAGAACCTATATGGAGTTATATTAACTTTTTCAGAAATGAATTGCGTTTCTGCGGAGGGTGAAAATCACTAATAAATATCTCGCTTTCTTCTCCGAATGCTATATATGATTTAGATAGGTCTAAATACAACGTTACATCTTTCAAGAGTCCTCAGTAGCTTCAAACGGTAAAATGGATCAAATTGGATTCTTGCAACTAACTAAAAGTATGCGAATTTTCTACGAAAAAAAGTTCGTAACTGCCTTCATATGATCGTTTCGCAGATTTCGAGCACAGATTTAGAATCAGCGTTTCGAGGTGCACCTTGTGGTATACATCGCATACCAAATGGCCAGGGTCAAGTAGGCTTTCCTCGTAACTAAAAATTTGACGTAAAATAATTTGAGTATGAGTTTACTTTTACTCCAGCTACAGGATAATTAGGGTAAGGTTTTGAATAATGAGTCAGCGCTATTGTAGTGTTTTTACCGGGAGGTCTAGATCAGTATTTTCTTTTGGGCGGTATAATTTTGCGAAATATAAGGAGTACAAAGCTCAACTTGACGATAAATAGTTGCAGGAGGCGAGATGAAAAGGCTGGCATTTGCATCCAAAATGCTCAGTAACCCTCCTTTGTTACTTTGCGATGAACCAACAACAGGGTTAGACTCGCATATGGCTGAATCTGTGGTTAAAGTACGTTGCATATTGCATGCAAAATATAAGCATTTACATCGTGTTTAGAGGTTAGAGTCACTATCCATTGAGAAGGAAAAAACAGTGATTTGCACCATAAATCAGCCTTCTTCTGAAGTGTTCGAATTATTTCATAAAGTGTGTTTTGTTGCTAATTAAGTGAACACAACTACTACTCATATTCAGGTGGTTTTCATATCGCAAGGACGAGTAGCCTTTCATGGTACACCTGACGAAGCAATAACTTTCTTTGCTAAGTGTGGTTATGTGATGCCTGATCATACCAATCCTGCAGATCATTTCATTGATGTAAGAGCCCAACAATTTTATTGCAGCGGTTCCGTGAAGCAGCACCTCTAAAGTGCCGGGCATACTTCACGCGATTTCTGTCGCGACGCGATTTGGCAATTCGCCAGAAGTCTTTCGATCCAACACTAGCAAACTGCACATGCATAATGTGTATAACTTACGTAGACTGATAAAATGGCCTATCTCTTGTACATATAAAATGTGCCTACAGTGAGTTATGGACAGTTGAAATATTGCCAAATTGCGTCGCGACTGAAATCGCGTAGAGTATGCCTGGCCCTTAAGGCTTAGTATACCTCCCGCGATTTCGGTCGTTCACGTAGGCACAGCAGTGTCGCGGGTAGTGCATTCCTGTTCCTCATGAAGTGATCGCAAGCGTAGCTAAAAGTGCATTAGTGCTGCCATCCCTTGTATTACCAATATCTCCTAGAAGCGGCATAACGGGTACCTATATCGATGTTATCTCTGTGCGCATGCAGTCAAAATTGCTCTGAATCTTTTCCCAATATATAGTAAGTCTTTGGTTTTTGACAAAGATTGCTCAGATAATCACCAGGGGCAGGCGGTTATGCGATTTATGAGCAGGCGGGCACCAGAAAAATAGTTCGCTGATTTCCTGCGGTCCGCCTGCAGATGTTTGGGAAATTTTGAACGAATGCTCGGAGAACAACTGCGACTTTTTCAAGATCAGTTGCGGCGCAATGGCCGCATTCTCGCGGACTTTCCGCGAGAATGCGAAAATATTGAGGGGCGCACGGTTTTTATGAAGGACCGCACAGCCCATAGGTACCTTGCGCTGGGTCGAGTAATTAAACTACCGATGGCACCTCTGTTATATAGAGTGTTACCTTTACTTGGCGTACGCCCGAAACTTCATAAAAAGAGTCCGAGCGCCCGCTAAAAGTTTTGCCCGCGCTCGCTGAAAGAGATTACATGGCGAGCGCTTGCAGAAAACTTTGTGTTGCTGCCCGCTGGCGGCGGACCGCCTGCCCCGACGATTATCTGAGTCGGTCCTTACGGGATTCTGTGCAGTGTGTTTTCCGGTGCGACTGTCTGACATTGAAAATCTACCTATAAGTGAATCTAAGTGAATCTAAATCTAATCTTTGACATATTTTGATCCTCAACATGTACCCATACAATACCGCTCATCATTTGTTAAAAAAGTCGCCGAAGTGCGCTGCAGTGCGCCGGAGTGCGGCAGAGTGCGCCACACTCCACTAGAGTCGGTCGGAATTTGGCATCGCCATATCTCGCTTCAGAATGAGCGTCTGAATCCGAGGACACCGTTGGATCCAGCTCGGCGAGACGCATCATCTAGTATTTAGAAGTATCTAGCAGGATACGATAGGTATACGGTAGACAATAAGTTTTTGCTGAATTTCGCAGGTTTTTGTTCGGTTGTTTTGTACAGTGTGCTGATAACAGTATTGTCATTGATTTGTCGCTGATGACACATAGAAAGTATACTGTGAGAGTATGGTAGAGAGTCACTCTGGTCGAATTTGTTCTAAAATCTGCTCAAGATTACAATACCGCTCACAGAATGTGCAAAGCTTCCGTGAATTTCGCGGAATTCCGGAATTTCCACCAGAGTCCACGATATTCGGAAGTTCGCGACATTCCAGGATCCGCGGAATCATAGAAATCACGCAGATTACGCAACGCCATTCGTTCGGAATGAATATGTTCCGAATCCGAGGGAAGCTTTGTGCTCAGTATATCGAGGCAAATCTTTCGATAATCAGCATGTTCTTGATATTCCGATTTTAGAATTCTCAATCTTTCTGTGGAGGTCTTTTTGCAAAGGTGTAAAGTAGCGCGCATTGCCCCCAGTAGACTGCAGCAAGGACTGTTCGGTAGCACTTATTCCGTACATTATGAAGCGCTAAATAATAGTCATAGGAGACTTTCCCATGGAGATAGAAGGGCTGGTAAATTGTAGAAAAATCTGGTTGTCCCAAATTCCACTCGTCGTAACCCTAGAATTCGAAGCTATCTTGTTAAGCAGGTATGAGTTTTGTAATCAGCAGGTCGGAAACCCCTTTGAGCAAATTTTCAGAGAACTTCGGGTTATTTGATTTTTTCTCGTTTCATGCTCTGAAGCTCGCCAGTGGGTTTTGGTCGAAATGTTGATGATCTTGGTTTAGAAGGAATCTCCGCTCACAGAGGTTTTCAAACACGCTGTTTATAAAAATCGTGTCCTCTATCAAGTACAGGGTCTTCTTGTAGAGTTATGGTGAGATAACTGTAACGGAGTCACGAAAGCTCGCAACTTCGCCCGCATTTCTCGAGTATCTGTCAGAAAACTTGCCTGCTTGCTTTTCTAATTCAAAATTACTAGAAAGTGTGCCATCGAATGGTGCATGACTCAGGCTCCAGTACGCACTGAAACACGTCCTCATGCATTTTGCCAAAAATGTAAAAATCGCATACTTCGTCGAAATTCCACCGTAACTGGTTATGACAGTCTAAATGCAAGTATAATGTTCACTTTGCCCAAGGGATTTCACTGTATTGAATATGGTGGTTGAGTGTGCTTCAGCTGCTTAGTTGAACCAGCTTCGTGGCTAGAGCTCAGATCTATCTAAGAAGGTCCATTAAGCGATGTGAACGGATTTGGTCAGCGTGTTGTAAAAGCATTCGCGGTGGAATTTCGGCGAAGTATGCGATCTTTACATTTTGGGCAAATGCATGAGGACGTGTTTTAGTGGGTACTGGAGCCCGAGTCATGCACCGATAGCACAGCTCCTAGTAACTTTGACTTAGAAAAGCAAGCAGGGCAAGTTTTCTGACAGGTACGCGAGAAGCGCAGGCGAAGTTACGAGCTTTTGTGACTCCGTTACAGTTACCTCACCATATCTCTGCAAAAAGACCCTATACTTGACAGAGAACACTTTCAAAAACAGTGTGTTCAAACCTCTATGAGCAGAGTTTCTTTCCAAACCAATATGCTTCAGAGCATAAACGAGAAAAAGAATAACCCGAAGTTCTCTGAAAACTTGCTCATAGGGTTATCCGACTTGCTGATTACAAAAGTCATATCTGCTTAGCAAGACAGCTTTGTATTCTAGGGTTACGACGGGTGGAATTTGGGACAACAAGATTATTCTACAATTTACCAGCCATTCTATCCCTACTGGAAAGACGCCTGTGACTACTTTTTAGCGCTCCATGATCTACAGAATAAGTGCTATCGAAAGATCCTTGCTGAAATGTACTCGGGACAATGTTCGCTGCATTACACCTTCGCGAAGAGATGTCCACAGAAAGATTTGAGAATACTGAAATCGGAAGATCGAGGGCACGCTGTAAATCAAAAAATTCCCCTCGACGATCTGAACACAATGCTGCTTCCGAATTTAGAATATATTTGATCCGAAGGAAGTTATAGCATTGCGTGTTCTGCGTGATTCCCATGAATCCGCGGATCCTGGAATGTCGCAAACTTCCCGGAATATCGTGGACTCTGGTGGAAATCTCGGAATTCCGCGAAATTCACGAAAGCTTTACATATTCTGTGAGCGGTATTGTAATCTTGAGCAGATTTTAGAACAAATTCGACCAGAGTGACTCTCTACCATATTCCTACAGCATACTTTCTATTGTCATCAGCGACAAATCAATGACAATACTTTTACCAGCACATTGAACAATCCAACCAAGCAAATATCTGCAGAATTAAGCGAAAACTTACTGTATAACGTATACCTATCCCTGCTAGATTGTGACACTCTCATATACTAGATGATGCGTCTCAACGAGCTAAATCGAACAGTGTCCTCGGATTCAGAATTCGTCTATTCTGAAGCGAGATACGGCGATGCGACGCGAAGTTCGATGGACTCTGTGAAGTGTGGCGCACTCTGCCGCATTCCGGCGCACTGCAGCGCACTCCGGCGGACTGCAGTGCAGTGCGGCCCACTCTGCTGCAGTAGACTCCGGCGGAGTGCGCCGCAGTCCGGCGACTTTTTTGACGAACTATGAGCGGTATTGTATTAGAGGTTTCTCCCCGGTTGACATCGATCCCTCTGTTTAATCTACGTCACGTGCGAATGAACTTATTCACAGAATGTTAAATTGTGTGTTTACAGTTTTCTCTCACATCCGCTCATTCTTAGGCCCCATTCTTCTTTCTGCAAAATACCGCCAACAGAAATGTGAAACCGGAATGGCATTGATCATAAATGATTCAACTCCAACTTTTCTCGCAGATGTAGAATTGTATCGTCTTTTAGATTCTTGCCATATGGCCGGATAAAGAAGAAAAATGCAAGGAGAAAGTAAACGAAATTTGCGAACAAGTCAGTTGTTTGTATAATATACAATACCGCCATGTCCATACATGTATAGACATGTCCATACATCAGCGTCGCGTGGCCATATCTCGCTTCGGAGTGGACGAATTCTGAATCCAAAGCCACCATTCGATTCAGCTCGGCGCGGAGAATCTTCTGATATATTGGAAGTGGAGACACGATGTCTTCGATATTCCGTTTCCAGTTTTTTTTCAAATTGTTCTGCGGAGGTCCATTCGCGAATATGTGAAGCAACGCCTACCCAACATGGAAGACTTTACTAAGTACTATTCGATAATACTGTTTTTGTAGATTATTGTGCGCTGAAAAATAGGCTCAGACTTCTTTCCAAAGGAGATAGAAGCGTTGGTAAATTTCTGGAAAAATCACGCGTTTGTAAATTCTACTCGCCATAACTTCCTTCGGAATGAGTATATTTTGAATCCGAAAACAGCGCCTTGCTCAGCTCCTCAAGACGAATCTTCTTATATACATCGTGTCCTTGATATTTCGATTTCAGTATTCTTGAATCTTTCTGAGGACGTCTTTTCGCAAAGGTGTAAAGCAGCAAGCATTGTCCCTAGTACGTTCCAGCAAGGACCTTTCGATAGTACTTTTCCTGTAGATCATGGAGTGCTAAATAGTAGCAGCAGATTTCTTTTCAAAGGAAATAGAACGGCTGGTGAATTGTGGAAAAATCTTGTCGTCCCAAATTCTGCTCGCCATAGCCCCAGGATACGAAGCTATCTTGCTAAGCAGATGTGAGTTTCGAAATCAGCAGGTCGCATAACCTCTACGAGCAAGTTTTCCGATATGTTCGGGTTATTTCATTTTTTCTTGTTTTACGCTCGCTCCGGAAGCTCGCCGATGGATTTTGGCCAAAACGTTGATGCTCTTGAATTGTAAGGAAACTTCGCCTATAGAGGTTTTCGAACACGCTCTTTACGAAAATCGTGGTCTTTGAAGATTACAGGGTCTTTTTGGAGAGATACGGTGAGGTGACTGTAACTGCATCACGAAAGTGCGTAATTTTGCTCTCACTTCTCGCGTATCTGTCAGAAACCCTGCCTGCTTGCTCTTCTCAGTCAAAGTTAATAGGAGCTGTGCTATCGAACGGTGCATGACTCAGGCTCCAGTCTGTAAAATTCGCCGAGTTACGAGCCTACAAAAACACGTTCTCATGAATTTTGCCCAAGATGTAAAGATCACATATTTCGTTGAAATTCCTTCGTGAGCGCTTGTACTACACGCTGATCAAATATTTCACATTTCCAATGGATCTTTTTGTATTCGTATTTCATAGCCAATAACCAAGATTGTTAACACGTTTCGGACCGCGAAATCGCGCGCGGCGAAAAAGAGGGTACTTTCAGGCGTTAGCCAACAAAGGGACCTTATATCGTAGATTGTGTGCTACATCTGTTATCAGCATGTCAGATAAAATCCATACCCAGAGTTCTGAGTGATTTCGAAGTGCTTGAATTTTGTCGTCTGAGAAGGACTTCTGTGCTTTCTTAAAAGATAGAAACAAGAACTCAGTCTCTAATTGTATCCAAAAGTATCTATGTTGTACGCGATACACATCATTATTAAAACTACGGTTTTTCTGTTTGTATTCAAAACTAGGAAAAGCTGCGACGTCGCACGCGTCGTTCGCGTTGCCGCACTTCGTTGCAACTGATGTTCGATTTGTACTTATATTTCTTACAAATATCGATGGCACAGCTCTACAGACCCTTTCGAAAAGTAGGAGCTTAGGCCTCCGACTTGATAACCTTGGACAATAAGAAAACCTCCTGTAAACGTTGAAAAGATTCTTCAAAGGTGAGTGCTGCACCATGTGCAGCACCGTCCGAAACGTGTTAATACGCTTTATTCAGTCAGGCCAACGTTTTGGTGCCTTCACCTTCGCCAGAGCCTGGAAGATCGCATACATTAGTGGTCTGTTCCCCAAACACCTCCTTCAAGCCAAGGCTACACTCAACATTAAAGGCAGTGGCTCGGCAAAACTCAACAACTCAGAATTTTAACGCGGTAGACTCCTTATTGCCCAAGTATGAAAACAGTGCAATCCCAGTTGCACAGCATGCCTTCCTTGCCGAGAAAATTGCGCTGAAACTTACACGCGCAGGCCATTCTTACACGCATCTGGACGAATTGGCAATTTCCTTCTCACCATTGGAGGCTGCCCGCCGTAATGCTATAACCATTGGGTCCTGCAGCGATTCAGCGTCATCAGCTTGCAGCACTCGTCCAATTCCAAAGAGAAGGGCATTGAAAAACCCTCGTTTTCAGCATTTTCAAGCTCTCAAAAGTGGATTTTCGGAATCAGCGTGTTGAATAATCCCAGATAAGCGAAAATTTGACCATGTTGAGATTTGCCGAGCCACTGCCTTTAAGTTAGTTTGAAAGCAGTGACGGAAAGCATCGTCAATGCGGCAATCTTCGAATCAGGGTTGATTAACCACCAAACACAGCGTCTGCACAGTTAGTAGTGGCGAAACCTTGCAAAAGAGTATCGCCGCTTGAACAGACTATGGACAGATACTGCAGACTCTGTAGGCTTACCGAAAAAATTGATATCACATCTAAGAAACGATCGGCCCAGATGTCCTGTCCTTTACGTGCTTATCAAAACACACAAGCTCACTGCTAGTAATTTCCTTTCCTTGGATCCTGCAGAGTTCAAAACAAGGCCTTTTGTAAGCAGTTGTGGAGGTCCCAGTGATAGGATATCTTGGCTGCTGAACTTGATCCTCGCGCAATTGCTTCGATATATTCCTGCGCACCTAAAAAATACTAGCATGTTCCTTGAACAAGTCAGTAAAGCACCGCTAAGTGAAGAATGTGTCATGTGTGTGTTGTGTCGAATGAAGCGGCCATGGAAGCGGTCTACGAGATATTGAACGAACACCACGGTTCAATCAACATGTACATACGGTTTTGATATTCGACAGGTGATGGTGCTTTTGAAAGAATGTCTTAGCTGCAGCGTTTCTCGATGGTGTGGATAGTACTATAAACAAATCAGGAGATTGGCAATGGGGCAGAGGCTGGCACTTGTCGTTGCCATTGCCTATATGTCAAAAGTCGAGAGCCCCGTACTTGCGCGCAAACCAATACTTTATTGCCGCTATATAGATGATTGTTGTATAGTGTGCGCAACGCAAGACGAACTAGACACTTGCTTCAATCTCTTGAACAGCCAATCCCCGCACATAAAGTTCACACGAGAAAAGCCCGCAAAAACTGGCTGCCTTTTCTTAACGTACAAGTGCAATTGCGTGATGGATCATACAGGACCAAATGGTTCCAAAAACCAAGCAGCAAAAATATATTAGTTCACTATCTCTCGGCCCATCCTTGGAGCACAAAAAGGTCGGTAATTTGTAATATGTTCAAGACTGCCAAGGCAGTCTCCTCTGATCAGGAACGCGCTATATCGTTGAGTCTTGCCAGACAAATTGCACAGTCTAATGGTTACCCCGCAGACCATTCATCGCAACGTACCTGGCAAGAATACAAACCGCGCGCAACCAAAAATGAAGTCAAAATACCTTTTTGTGTTCCTTTCATATCTGAAGATTTCAGCAAAGCGGTAAGGAAAAATTTAGAACATGCAGGCCTAAAAGACTCCGTTAAAATCATAGACGTTCCGCCTTCCAACCTTAGAAAACAACTAATTCGTAATCGCTGTTACGACCGATTATGCATGAATATCGATTGCGTCGTCTGCCCATTTGGTCAAACAGGCGATTGCACGGAGGCGGGAGTAGTCTACTAGATAACTTGTCAGACTTGCGGGAAACAATACATAGAAGAAACTGGTAGGCCTCTGTGTGTGAGAATCAATGAGCACCTAGATGGGCTTACAAAATCTAAATCCAACACCCCCCCCCCCTAGGCGCACATCGCAGAGAGGAACACTCAGATCACAATTTAATTAGCTGTCACAATCTTGACGCGTGAATCCGAAATTGTTAATCGTAAAACGCTGGAAGCATTTTGGATAACATCCAATGCTCCAGCAATGAACCGCAAGGAAGAGGGCGTTGCCATGAATAGTGATCTAATCTCGTATCAGTCCCTCTGCGGATTTGATCTACACCGAGATTAGAATCATCTATATAAGGCAATTATACTGGTTTCGCCACTACTAACTGTGCAGACGCTGTGTTTGGTGGTTGCTCAACCCTGATTCGAAGATTGCCGAGGTACGCATTGACGATGCTTTCCGTCACTGCTTTCAAACTAACTTAATGTTGAGTGTAGCCTTGGCTTGAAGGAGGTGTTTGGGGAACAGACCACTAATGTATGCGATCTTCCAGGCTCTGGCGAAGGTGAAGGCACCGAAACGTTGGCCTGACTGAATAAAACAATCTTGGTTATTGGCTATAGAATACGAATACAAAAAGATCCATTGGAAATGTGAAATATTTGATCAGCGTGTTGTACAAGCGCTCACGAAGGAATTTCGACGAAATATGTGATCTTTACATCTTGGGCAAAATTCATGAGAACGTGTTTTTGTAGGCTCGTAACTCGGCGAATTTTACAGACTGGAGCCTGAGTCATGCACCGTTCGATAGCACAGCTCCTACTAACTTTGACTGAGAAGAGCAAGCAGGCAGGGTTTCTGACAGATACGCGAGAAGTGAGAGCAAAATTACGCACTTTCGTGATGCAGTTACAGTCACCTCACCGTATCTCTCCAAAAAGACCCTGTAATCTTCAAAGACCACGATTTTCGTAAAGAGCGTGTTCGAAAACCTCTATAGGCGAAGTTTCCTTACAATTCAAGAGCATCAACGTTTTGGCCAAAATCCATCGGCGAGCTTCCGGAGCGAGCGTAAAACAAGAAAAAATGAAATAACCCGAACATATCGGAAAACTTGCTCGTAGAGGTTATGCGACCTGCTGATTTCGAAACTCACATCTGCTTAGCAAGATAGCTTCGTATCCTGGGGCTATGGCGAGCAGAATTTGGGACGACAAGATTTTTCCAC